CGCCCCCCCCCCCCTCGAAGGTTGCCGAAATAGGTGCTATCACACTGACATACGACATCCACCAGTTGTCAGCGTCCCCCGCCTCATGTCCAGTCCACTGGACTTCTTAGAACATCTCATCACTTCTTAAAACATTTCACCAAAATAGCAAACCAGATAAAAATCATTGGCGACGCGCAACGGGTGAGCCCGTGCAGTCATGCGTTTTTGCAGTGTTTCGTGCAATAATGAGATCGCTACGAAACACAATAGCAAGAAATGTGTGACATACTGGTCCTCGAATTTCGGGAAGTTAGTTGTCTACGCTGTACTTAGACAGGGAACATTCCCTTAAAATCTCAGATCCTAGCTTCCACAGTTCTCGATTTACCCATATTCCCGCCAAAAACTTTCATGGGGCCGTACGTGAGAACCACGCATGCCTGGGGGGCTGAATTTGATAACCTTTAGTTGTATATGAGCTGGCAAAATCCCCTGAAAACTTCAGTCTTCTAGCTTTCTTGGTTCCTGAATTAGCCATTTTCCCGCCAAAAATTTTCACGCGGCCGTACTGAGAACCACGCACAGAGAGGAGCTGAATTTAGTAACTTTAAGTTGTAAATATGCTGGGAACATTCCTTGAAAATTCCAGCCTCCCAGCTTTCTCGGTTCCCGAATCAGTCATTTCTCCGCCAAAAATTCCCACGGGACCGTACGTGGGAACTACGCCTCGAGGCTGATTTTGCCAAATTTTGTTTGCATATGAACAGGGGACATTCCCTAAAAACTTCAGCTTTCTAGCCTTCCTAGATCCCAAGTTACCGATTTTCCCGCCAGGAAACTTCACGGGGCCGTACGTGAGGAAGACGCGTGTCTGGAGGCTAAGTTTGAAATGTTTGTGTTCTATTTGGACGGGGAACGTAACTGCAAAGTTTCAGCTTTCTAGCTTTTCTGGCTCTCGAGTTAGCGATTTCCCCGCCGAAACTTTGAGGGGCTCGTACGCGGGGTCTAAACGTACATGAGGGGCGGTGCCGCGGTCCTGGGGTGGTACTTGGTCGGGAAACCCGCTGGCAAAATTTTGGCGCTTGAGCTTGCTTGGGTGCCGAGTTGAAATACCCGGACAGACGCAGACACATACACATACACACACATACATACACACACACCGGGGTTGTCACAATATGCGTTTTCGCATTTGCATATATGCAAAAACGCATAATAGTACTCCGATTGTTAAACGAAGTCTTTTTTTTTTGTGTCCGACTTGTTCAATCAACGTTTCTGGAAGCATTTATTCGCCTTCTAATTCCCGGCCTGGCTTCAAGTTTTAGCTGAAATTTGCGCTTCCCTAACCAAATTTTTGCATTCCCCAAACTGATTTGTGCACAGTAACAAGAATCAGCATGCTGGTTCTGTGACTCAGTTCTTGCCTCTTCCCTTCCTAAACGGGTGAATCTAAAATACAACCGAAGCAAAAACAGAAATTTTTGAGCACTAATGTTTCTGGAACTATTTATTCAGCTGCTACTTTTCAGTAAGCCGCTAGTTTATACTGTAAGTAAATTTTCATTTTCAGGCACATGAAAAGGATTACCATGGACCATTTTAGAAACTTATTCTCGACATCCAGTTTTTGGATGAATAAAAGAGGAAAATTATTCGTGAAAGCCTGACCTGCATAAACCTCCAGATGAAAACTTCATGCAGACAAAGCTCAATGTACTTGGAAGCGATGTAATTTCGCACTTCCTGTGGTTCATTCACACATTTGTCAACTGGTACACCCTCCATATACTCCGTCGTTAGTACATGGGTTGTCGTCAAATCATCATATACCTGAAATGTGGCGCATGGGAGGTTTTTCCGTAAACAGATATGTTAACTGCAATAAAAAACAACCGAACCCTCTGACAGAACATCAGTTAACAGAAAATTTCAAGGCAAATTCAGAGTTTAGAACAAAAAGCGGCAACCTTAGGCACATAATAATGCTCATCATCGACCAGCAAACGTCCGAATTGTTTCATTGCACGTGCTTCGCGTTTGTAGTCGCATTCCAACTTCAGTTCTTTTCTGGCTACCTGAATTCTGCCCTACTGACATCATGCAAGCACTCTCAATAATCTTCCGGTCCGCATCACCAGCTATCTGCTCTTGAACTGTTTCGCCAATCCTTCTTTTACAACTAACCTTCGCGAAATTCTCGAGATAGAGACCTTTTGGGAAGAAATTGCCATAACTGAGCACTGTCATCAAATTGTCAATATCAGAATCAATGCCAGCTGCAACACCAGGATACTGTATTTTCAACGCTACCTTTTCGCCAGTATGCAGCCAGGCTCGATGAACCTACAATAAATGTCGCTAATTAGAAGGTGCGAAATTCATCCAGAAAACTGTCCCGAATAAGGGCGGAAATCAAATAAACATAGTCAACTGCGCCTACGAAAATACTGGAATGTTTACAAAACCTGTCCGATTGAAGCAGCAGCAAACGGAGTATCCTCAAATGTTGCAAATTTTTCACGCCAGTCAACTCCAAATGAGTTAAGCATTTGCTGGTACACCTGTCGGCTAGGCATAAAATCTGCGCTGTGTCGAACTCGTTCAAATATTTGAAGTAGAGCAGGTGAAATGAGATCAGGATCTAAACCACTCATTGGTTCGTTACGCATTTCAAAAAAAAAAAAACACACACACACATGAATGCAGTAAGGCGCATCAGAGAGCTGCCACAGACAGGCGTTTTAAGTACAATTTGCTTAGAAATTGTTTGTTGCTTATGTGGAATTTAAAGCTGCACAGCTGTACACGTAACAAAAATGTTAAAATTGTATGAGTCATAATGGAACTTAAAAACTGACTTCACATTTTTGGTCCCTACATATAACCGGACCTATGCTCTCAAAATTACAGTCTGCTACCTTGTCTGACCATGCGGATGAAAATCTGTTACGAAAATGTGAAAACACACACACACACA